GAAACTTTTAATCTATGAACTTGATTTCTATAATAGATAAAGGAATTTTCAGCTCATCTATTTTATCTTGGGTGAATTTTTCTAATTTGTGCATGATAAGGACTTGGTCTATTTTATCTAAATTGTCAAATTCATGTGCAAAGAGTTATTCATATTATTCCTTTATTATCTTTGTTTTTCTTGAGACAGGGTCTTGTAAAATTGTCCAGGTTGGCCTAGAATCTTCAGTCTTACTAGAGATAGTCTATTGACCATTTTAATGCACTAACTTTTTGTTTGCTAGGTTTTACCTATTATTAATTTATTTTTTATTTCATTAATTTCTGCTTTTTATTAATTCCTTCCTTTTACTTGGTTTGGGTTTATTTTGTACCTTTTTTCTAATTTCTGATGGTGGAAGCTGTTTGTTATTATTTGAGATTCTTTTCTACTTTAAGCATTTAATATTATAAATTTTCTTCCAAGCACTTCCATAGACACATTACGCAAAATTTAATGTGTTATATTTTAATTTTTGTTCATTTTGGTTACTTTAAAATTTTCCCTGATATTTTCTCTTTGGTCCATTGACTATTTAAAAAGTATACTTTTAATTTTCTCAGAATTTGAAGATTTTCCTGTTACCTTTCTAATATTCATTTCTAGTTTAATTCTATATTGTTTAAGAGCATGCATTGTATAGTTTTAATTCTTTTAGGTTTGCTAATAAATATTGTATATTGCCTATTGTGGTGCATGTTTCATGTTCACTTGAAAAAATGTGCATTATGTTGTTGCTAGGTGGTATGTTCTATAAATGTCAATTAGATCCAGTTGGATGACATTATTGTTCACTTCTTTTATATGCTTGCTGATTTTCTGCCTACCAGTTGTATCACGAAGAAAGCAGTGTTGAAAAGTTTCTCACTATAATTGTGGATTGGTCTGTTTCTCTTTTCAAGTTTTTCAATTTCTGATTCATGTAGTACAAACGCTTTTATTAAGTGCAAGCGCATTTAGCACTGTTATGTCTTCTTGGTGAATTGATCCTTTTATCATTATGTAATGTCCCTCTTGATCCCTGGTAATTTTCTCTGAAGTCTTCTTTGTCTGATATTAATATAGCCACTCCAGCTTTCTTTGGTTTAATGTTTGCATGGTACATCTTTTTCCTCCTTTCACTTTTAATGTACCTACATCATTATAATTGAAATGAGTTTCTTATAGAAAGCTTATGTTTGGGTTATATTTTGATTTTCTAAGCATCATCCTTTTAATTGTGTTTGGGCCATTTATATTAATGTAATTATGGATATGGTTGGATTAATTCTGCCATTTTGTTATTTGGTTTCTTTTCATTCTTTCTATTTTTTTATTCTTCAGTATCTGCTTTCTGGTCCAATTTGTGGTGATCAGAACATTAAGTAGTTTTTATTTTGGAAAAATATTAGAGGTATCAAAAAGTTGCACTGACAATATAGAAAGTTATTATATACTCTTTAGTCAATTTTCCTTAACGTTAACATCTAACATTCCCATGGTACATTTTTAAAAATTAAGATCATAGCTGGCATGTCATTAATTAAATCTAAACTTGTCAAACTTTGTCAAATTTTCTACTAATTTCATTTTTCTATTGTAATATTCAATTCAGGATACCACATTGTTTAGTCAGTGTTATTTGAACATCTTTAGTATTCAATTCTATCTCTTGTAATTTTGATGATATCTTATATATTATTTTAGTGATTTCTTTAGGAATTAAAAAATATGTACTTAAAATTTACACTATCAACGTAGAATTAATATTTTGCCATTTCAGTTCAAAATAGAAAATTTATACCATTTAGGATCAGTTTTCTCCATCTGTGTTATAGCTGTTTTGTATGTCTTATATATTACATTAACTTACATTAAAAACTCTACAAGGTAATGTTATAATTTTTCTTCAATGATCAAATATTTTAAATATCACAAAATAGAAGAATAATCTATTATGTTTATACAGGTATACAATATTGCCCTTGCTCTTCTTTTATTTCTAATAGTCGAGCTTTCCTTGCATTATCATTTTTCTGTCATTTGAAGAACCTCTTTTAGCAATTATTTTAGCATAGATCTACTAGTTACAAATTCTTTGTTTGCTACCATCTATTATCTTTATTTCCACCTTCATTTATTCTTAAAGCATAGTATTGCTCAATTTAGGAGTGTGCTGACAGTCTTCTTTCCTTTTAGTGCTTTAAAGATATTGTGCCACTTTCTACTGGCCTCCATCATTTCTGAGGAGCTATCCATAGTCATTCAAATTGCTGTCTCCCTGCAGGTAATGTGTTGTTTTGCTTGAGCAACTTTCAAGAGATTTTCTTCATCTTTATTTTTCATCAGTTTATGATGTATCTAGGCATGGATTTATTTGGATTTATTCTGTTTGGGATTCACTTGGCTTCTTGAATACTTAGGTTTACGTCTTTTGCCAAACTTGGGAAATGCTATAATTTGGATCTGGAGTGACCCCCAAAGTTTCATACATTAAAGATTTCATCCTCTGTTTGGCACTATTGGTATGCAGTGGAACCATTAAGAAATGGGACCCAATGGAAGAAAGTTAGGTCTCTGGGTTAGTGGGTAATACGTCCTGGAATGGAATACTGGGATCCTATCTTTACTTTACTTCTCTCTCTCTCTCTCTCTCTCTCTCTCTCTCTCTCTCTCTCTCTCTGTCTCTGTCTCTTTGGCTTGCTCTTGCTTTTGCTCCTCTCTCTCTCCTTCCTGGGTAACATGAGGTGAACAACTTTGCTTCACCGTGTGCTCCCATCACCCACAATTATCAGCCTCACCAAAAGCCCAAAATGATGGGGCTAAAGGACCATGCTTGAAATTATGAACCAAAATAAACCTTTCTTCCTTTTAAATTGATTACCTTAGGTACTTTGCCTCAGTCTCAGAAAACTAGCAGGTAGTTTTCAAACATCATTGCTTCAAATGGCTTTCTCCTCTTCTATGAGTCTTTGACAACATTAATGTTAAAACTCATATACCTGATGTAAATACAAGATCATTTTTCAGTCTATTATTCATATGAGACAGTTTTTATTGATCTATTTTCACTGTCACAGACTTTTTCTCATATTGGATCCATTTCTTAAACTTTTTATTATTTTCATTATTCTATTTTTCAATTTTAGGATTTCCACTGATCATTCTTTGTACCTTCTGTGTTAACTTTTGTTTTAAGAGTGTTTTTGATTACTTGCTTGAATGATTTTTTAAACAGGTATTTCAAATTATTTTTCAGATACTCCCCAAAAGCACATCACTGGTACCTGTTGATTTTCTGTTTACATGAAAGTTGAAATTTTCATGGTTCTTCATAAGATGAGTAATTGGAGTTGTATTCTGGACATTTTTAGTGTATTACTCTATGAAACCCTGGGTTTTGCTTGAATTTTATGGAGTGCAAGTATTTCATCTAGTTAGGTCCAGGCTGTAAGTTATCACTGACATTCTTTTGGCTATGGATCCTATGTTAGTCCACTTTTCAAAACCTTTGCAATATACTTCAGATCTGTCCTGAGTGTCAGTCATCCAGTAACCTGTCTGGGACCTAGGCAGCGGTGTATTTCTTAGTTTATTCTTAGTCTTTTTGGTATGCTAATTAGGAGCTAAGGTCGATATGTACAGGCTTAGAGTGACTGGCCATGAAGTTTTAAACTGTTTCCAGTAGAGGATAACAGAATGAAGCAGGAGATAGGTATGGAGGGTCTCTAGATAAAACAGAGCCACCATTTGTGTTAAGAATCTCAGAAAGGGGTTATTTTTTTTCCCATCACAGGCCCAATCAAATACAAGTGGAAGTCTTTGGCAGCTCAATGGAAAAAGAATGAATTCTCAAATAAGTACAATAAACTCTCCGATCTTCCCTTCCATATATACCAGGCTGAGCTTCTTCAGCATCTCTTAGGCAGCCATTCCATTGTTTATTTTCTATAGGCTAGGTAAGCCTGAAAATAAAAATAAATGATCTCACTGTGAGTTATCACCATGATTACTGACACCTAAAGATAATTTAGCATGTGTCAATGTGACCTCCCCCCTTTTTTTGGCAAGGGAAAAAAAGAACCATACTAAGGGGATTTTTAAGAAAGTATCTTAAGCATTTAAAGCTGGAGGGACCTAGGTCTAACTTTTTGGTCCTACTGTTGTCTGATTTCAATCACCACCTTAGTATTTTCGTCCACTCTACTAACCTTAAATAGCACACATATACTAATGTCTCCCAGTTTTTTTTAATCTCTGACCAGGACCTTGCCCTTCAACTTCAGATTGTAAATTGAAATCCCTATTCAACATTTCACTTAGGTATCTACTAAGTATATGAAATTAAATTGCTCCAAATTGAAGTCCTCTGCTTCTGCCCGTATAGTACAACCTGTTCTTTAGTGCAGCAGCCAGCATGCTCCTTTTAAAACTTACATTGCAGGGAATTCTTCCTGTGCTCAAGGTCTTTCCTCCCAGAATCAAAGCCCAAATTTTATGGCTGCCTACAGGGACCTTCACAATGTGACCCTTACTTACCTTGTAGTTGTCCTCCCTTTTGCTCAGCTGGTAGTGACTGGTACATTGGCCTCTTTACTGTTCTAATACTCCAGCATGTTACTGCTCCTTGGCCTCTGTACTGGCTGACATTTCTCCCTGGGCCTATCTTTCCAGTTGTTGTAAAGCTCACTCCATCACCTCAAAACGTCTTTACATTGTCAACTGGCTTATTTCCAACGAACCCTTCTCTGACCACATTATCTAAAGTTGCATTCACATTTATTTTTCTCTACCATTACCTTTTTCCCACACTATTATCTGACAAATTACATAATTTATTAATTCACTAATATACGTTCCCTGAGGACAGGAGATTTTTTTGTCTTATTTCTTGTTGAATGTCTAGATTCTGAAACAGAGTAGATGCTTGATAATCACATGGTGAAAGAATGGGAAAAAATAGCACTTGGGTCTGCTCTTACCATAGCGGGCAGAAGATGGACGTTTGAGTTGTTTATTGAGTGTTTCAGAACGTGAGCACTGAAAAGTTCCAGAGGGGTTGCTAGAGCAGGCTCAAAGTTATTGATGACATAGTATCTTCTCAAAGAAATCAATGGTTGAGACACCTCTATTATTGCATCCTCCTAGGAGCAAGTATCAAAAATGCCAGCAGCATGAGGTTCTGCACAGATTGACTCTTCTCAAGGTGTTGGAAACAGGTACGAAATTAGAAACTGGGAGCTTTGTACTTGGACTGATTCACAGGTTTCAGCATTTCAACTTCCCAAGTGCTGCTACTGCTGCTAGCTTCTGAAATATCTTGCACACCAACACCCCAGCTCCTGCTGATGTGCGCATGCGCACACACAGACATGCTCACTTGTTTTCCTGCACCAGGTGCTGCTCAGTATAACCCATCCCCACCCCAGCTTATATCTGAAAGGCTGAGATGACTACTCAAAAAAACTTTTGCTGAGACAGAATTGTCCAAGCTCCCTATTTTCCAAGGGAATGAGGTGTGTCTGGTGGTGTCCACAGGTCCCTCTTGCATCTGTCAACACAATAATATATGGCAAATAATAAGATTTCACTGCATTGTGGTGGTTTACACAGGCATGGCAATATTGTGATTTCAAAACAGTATAAGTCAGTAGACACCTGAGTTGACTGTGCCTTCTCTACCATCTTCCTGGAAGACTGGGTTAAATAATCTGATGATTCTTTAGTCTCAGAATTGACCCTGGGCCATTCCTTCCAATTTACAGGGCAGAATTAGCCAGTAATCCCTTTTGGAATCTTTCCTGTTTTCACTATGACTCTGTATTCCCAGGAGTCCAAATTCCAAGCTATACAGAGTTTTGGGAAGGGAAATTTGTAACACAGCACTTGTTTGAGGTACTTTGTTTCTTCTGTGTCTAAGTAAGTTGTGAACACTCTTGCAAAAGTAGAGCCTAAGCAAAATTAGAGCCCCTTTCCTGGAAAATACACAGAGGCTCACAGGAGATGCCAGCCAACTCTGGAGCCCAAGGTTAAGAATATCGTTTCTAAAATGAGCATGGTAGCACACTGGTAGGCTAAGCATGAGGATCTCAAGCTCGAGTTCCATCTTGACAAATCAGCAACTTAGTAAGACCCTGTATCAAAATAAAAGATTAAATAAGAGCTGGGAATATGTCTCAGTGGCAGGGCCTTGGATTCAGTTTCCAGTAGGATGGAAGAAGAGATAGAGAAAAAAGAAAGGCAGAAAGAAAGAAAGAAGAAAGGGAGGCAGGGAGTGAGGAAGGAAAGAAAAAAATATTACATCTATTGTGTCAGAGACCCATTTTTAATTAGCTTTATAGCATTTTAATTATACAGTGTTGTGTTTTAGATCTCAAATCCCCTCTCCCCCAAAGCACTCAGAGGCAGGGCTTGTGGAGGGTGATTGGATTAAAGAGACTTGCTGTTAGGAGCTGGGGCCTGGTTAGAGGCAGGTCACTGAAAATGTGACCTAGAGGCATTTATCTTCCTCCTCGACTCTTCCCTTCTCTCTTTGCTTCCTTTTTCCACCATGCCAGTTCTGCCTTAAGACCATCCAGGCATACAAAGACTGAGACCTCTGCAACTTTGAGCCAAAATAACCCTCTCTTCTTTTAGGTTGTAGGTGCTTAGTATTTTGTCCCAGCGACAAAGAAAGTGACTTCAGAGATACAGTTGGATTAATTTTGACAAATGTGTACATTCATATAACCACCACTCTATGAAGCTATAAAAGATATCCAACTCTAGAAAGTTTCCTGTGCTGTTTTCCAGTGAAGACCTCCATGCACTGAGATAAACATTATTCTAAACTCTACCACTATAGATTAGCTTTTCCTGTTCTAGAGCATTATCTAACTGAAATTACATTATATTTATCCTTCTGTGTATTACTTCCTTTATGCCTCATGTTTTTGAGATTAATTCATGTTATTGATTTGTCCTCTTTATTTCAGTTTATCCATTCATTTATTGATAACACTTGAATTGTTTCTGAGCTTAGAATATAGTAAATAAAGCTCTCTAGCATTCACATATAGGTCTCTGAACATATGATTTCTTTTCACTTAGATAAATACCTATAAATGGATTATATCTGTAAGTTTAACTTTTTAAACTATTGCCCAGTTTTTCACAGGTTTTTGTTTTTTGGTCTTTTTCCTTTTTATCAGTACCAGGAATCGAACTCACAACTGCCTGCTTGCAAGGCAGGCGCTTATGCCGTTGAGCTAAATCCCCAGCCCCCATCACAGGTATTTTTAAAAACCATTTTACATTGTGATTAGCAGTATAGGGAATGCTTTTTGCATGTCAAAAAAGGGTTCTAGGAAAAAAAAGCAATTATTAGTTCTCAGAGTGTTAGGAACAAGCAGGGTAAGCCCTTTTAGCTTTCCAGAGGTTAGATTCTCTTACTGATAAAATGGAGACAAGACTCCAAGAGTTAAAAGTTTGTGACATAGAAACACCCTTGGAAAGTGCTGCATTGTCCACATGAATAGATTGGAATGGAGGGATTGTCTGGGCCAGACTGCCATGCCAGCCAAAGTTTTGCAGTCTGAGAGACCTGGACTCTGATCTTGCTGGAGCCTCTATCTCCTGGATAAACTTATGAAGCCACTATGTAAACTAGGATTGTGATACTTCCAGGGCTGAAGGATTAAATGAGTCAAAAAATGTGGATAAAGTACCAATTCCAGGACTAGCAAGGAGAAGCTACTCCGTAAAAGAGGTAGGCCAGCTGAGTGATAAAGTTAAAACTACCTCCACTCCACCCTGGCTGTGGGACCTTGATGAGTATTGCATTACTTGGGACTCCCAGGAAAACACTCTTAGAGATGGAGGTGGAGATAGAAATAGGTAGATGGGATTGGAAGTGGAGATATGAAAATGGAGACGCAAAGATAGAGACATGAGTTCAAGAGACTTGGCAAAGATTACTTTGGAGCTCAAGAGCAGTGAGTGGGCAAGGAAAGGAAGAAGAGCTGGGCTGAGGGAGGAGGTAAGCTGCTATGATGCTGTCACAAAAGAGATTTCACGGGACCCCTTAGGACCTCTGAAGACCAGATGGCCCTTCCGACTTTTCCTGAATTGAGGTGAGGCAGTGGGCCTTCACATTTCTGCATGATTCTGTCATTCAGTGTGGGGATAAGACTTCCATGGCAGTTTCTGCAGGGACATTAAATGTGAATGCTCTCCTTGTCAACACTCCCAGCTGTTAACGGAATGAGCATCTCAGGCCTAAATGGGCATTTGAGCAGCGCATTGAAACACCCACTATACCTCTGCATTTCTCACTCTCCTTATCTACACAATAGGCACAACCACAGTGCCTACTTCATTGTTTTAAATTAGGATTGAAAGGGTTAATAAAAGTCCTTAAAACAGTGGCTGAGATGTTATTCGTAGTACTAATATTTTAGAAAACATTCGATAAATTCTCTTTAAATGAGTGAACAGATGAATTAGCTCTTTCAACCCTGTCCAGAGTGAAAGACAAATGTCCTATTTGCCTATCTGGGAGGAAAAAGCCCACTGGCCAGGTGACAAAGCAGTTAGCTGGAAAGCTGAGAATTCAGTGTATTTTAAGCCATGGGATTCTGGTGCTCAGAGGAAATTTAAATCTCCTTTTCCAAACATGTGCTGCACCTGAGGGTTCAGTATTCCCCATGTGCTCCTTGCCAGAGTCCTTTACCCTCAGTGTGCTGAGCTGCAGTATGGGGATTTGACAGCTGAAGACAGCTCAGCAGGGTGCGGGAAAGCAGATATTTAATGTGCTTTGACAATACAAAGGGTTATATAAACGACCCAGTTTCTGTAATTTTGCTGTAACTGTCATGGGAATTGCTACAGACAGATACGGAGAAGGCCCTGTTTATGCACTTAAACTTTAAAAGGTTTAACCACTAAACACACAGTCTCTTTCTCTTCCCCTCCCCTCCTCACAATCCTGCATTTAAATTGCATGGGGGGGGGGGCGTGTAGGGCAAGGGGATGGCAGTTAGAATCATGGGTTACCTCTGTCTGTGTCTGCCCAGCTCCTGGACCAGAGCCCCACTTTTGGACTCTAGGTCCTGGGCCCAGTACCTGCCCCTGGCCACCCTCCCCCAGATCTCCTTACCTGCTGGCAGCCACAAATACCCAGAGGGGAGGGAAGGCAGGAAGTGAAATGTACTGGCTCAGAGCTCACAGCTTTGCCCAATTTAAATCTGGTTCCTGTCCCAGTGTTGAAAGCATGTCGCTGTTTGATTCTTGCCATCTCATCTTAGAAGACTTTTCCCAAGGTGGGGGTGGGGATAGTTCTAAAGCCAGACAGGCAGGAGACAGGAGAGTTTATGCTTGCAGATACCACAGGCTTCCAAGCTAAGTGCCTTAGCTGAGCGAGCTCCTGGCTGCTGCTGACATTTCTCAGACAGGAGATCAATAAGTGGGCAGAGCTTGAAAAGCAAATCAGGCTTCGACCTGCCCTGGGGAACCCTCAGCAACTGTCACAGCAGAAGAGATGTCCCAGAGGAGGCTGGGAAAGACAGGGGGACACAGATAGCCTTGATATGGCTGAAATGGGGCCAGAAAAATGGAGGCTACCCAAGGAGATGAAAGGGTAAATGCTGCCACCTCTCCCACCCCCACCCTTCCATCATAGTTGCTGAGTGTGTAAAGACCCCTGACTTCTGCCTCCCAGGTAAAAGCAGACACTTGGAGGTGGATCTGCAGCTCATATGGCATTTCCAGTCCAAATGACACAGAGCAAATAATGTATGGAGAGCTGTCTTAGCTAGGAGACTCTATATTCATGGTTGTTCATTTCCTACAGACAAGTCTTATCCCCTATATCTGACTATCACCTATGAAGAGTTTAAAGATTTATCCAAGCGCCAGTTAGAGGCACAAAGGAATTACCTTTGTAGTAGTAGACATGCATGTACATGTACATACACAGAAGTGGATGCTAAACTTGGTTCTAGTCTGGTGAGCCTGGTCCATGCCAATAATTTAAACAATCTCATTGAAAATTTGGTATCTTGTTTTCAGTAATCACACTTTCCATATTGCTCTGTGTTCCTTGTTTGATGTCATCAGGGTACAGGGGAAAAACACTCTATGTCTTATGGTTATGGAGGAAAGGGGTCTATACAGCAATACTGTCCCCCTTTCTGTGTCTTTCATGTCTCCACCACAATAGATGTTCATGGTGTTGGCAACTGCTGAAATCTGCGAACTTAAAATTGGTGAACTTATAGTGTCATGTGGTCTTTTCTGCCATCTCAGCTCCTACTCGGCCCTGGTTGCTATTAAAGATCTCTGAGGTGTCACTGTGACTCCTAATTAGTTTTCTGTTTAAGTGGCCCAGTCAGTTCATCTGGTTCTAGGATCCTTTTCCCCCTGTGATAACAAATCACGGGCAAGCTCTCCAACCAATATCTTGCTAACATCTATGTTCTCCTGGGGTCCTTTGGACATTTCTTTGACACCTTATATACCAAATGGAATCTAGGATAACTCTGAAATGCTAACTCTGCTTGCTGTCTATATCACTAGGTGCTGCCCTGAGTTACTGCAAGTGCACATGCAGGTTAATTCCTCCTGCAATCTCAGAAAGAGAATGAATGATTTCTGCCCTTGATCATTTCCTTCATTCCAATCAGACAACTCCTCATTCTGAAACTTTGGCCCAGAGAAGATCACAAGGAACAAACTTTTCCAGTCTGGTCAGAATTCTACTTATGGCATATACACTGTCTTCCTGACCCAAGATTCTTCATGGTTTAGCTTTTATGAGAGAGACTGGGCTGAGAAAAAAATGACATCTTTACCTTGAAAGGAGAGCATGACAACAAGACCTTGAGAAAGATAGTTTACATGAGCTGTGATTTCAGTGGAGAAGTAAGGTGAAGGAATGAAGGAAAGCGAGATTACGACACAGGGTAGGAATAAACCCCCATATAAAAGAAGGCAGGGGCTGATTTCTCAAGAAAGCATAAAGACAGCCTTGTAAAACTGTCCAGCCAAAGGGCAGGGGACCGGGGCTGTTATCTACCGTGTCCCATCTGACCCTGGTGGAAGATTGTCTCTGGAGTTATTCATTCCCTCCCACTTCTGAGCTGTCCAGACACACAGACAGGCAAACTCCCACATGCATGGAGAAGACCCAGGGACGAAAAGAAAATAGGCATGATCAACTTGAGGAGAGTCCACAATACACTGGTTGCCGAATTAGAGATAGATGAAGGAGATGTAGAGGATCACCAGAAGTTTCTTTATACTACCCCCAAAAGAATTCAAATTTAGAATGTATTATTCATAACAATAGCTTTAAAGTTCTTATCTAATGTGTCTACTTTAAGATGGGAAGCAAAGACCCTAAGAAGTTTCAATTTTTCCAAAGTCAAAAGGATTGAACGCTGAATCACAAGTAGAACTTAGGTGCCAGAGAATCATGCCAGAGCTCTTTCTACTGTATTATATACAAATTCACTCAGTCAATGATAGTACCTTTACTGACTTGCTATGATTTTCATTATGAAACATAAGGATAGTTCCTGCTTTCAAGGAATTTGCAATGTGGTTAATAAGAGAAGCTTAGTCCTTTGTTATCATCATAAGCATTTGCTAGAAAGGGGACTGGCTTAAGTACCCTTTATTCAGTCACACAGTGCTCCAGAAACATGAGTCCAAAAGGGCTTAGAAAACACAGAGTACCTATTGTTGGCATGCACTGAGAAAATTTTAATAGAGTATTAATCTGTGCTAGGAAGTTATGACAGGAAGCTTCTACAGGGAACACCTCATGATTCCTGCCTCCAGGTGTTCATGCCCTTATGAAATACTCTTCCCTTTGAGTGTAATTTAGACCCTGTGACTCACTTTTAATGGATAGGAAGTAATGGGATAGAGCTTCCAAGATTAGGTCTAGAAAAAGACCATGGCTTTGGTTCTGGATATGTTCTCCCATGCTCTCTTGTGTTGACTGCTCCTGGGCTGACCAGCTTCTATGTGATGAGACAACCCTGTGGGGTGGTAGGGGTGACCAACCTGTAAGCAGACTTCTGAGACTTGCTAGCAACCCTGTGAATGAGCTTAGAGGCACATATTTCTCAAGCTGAATCTCAAGATGAGACTGTAGCTTAAGTGCCGCCTTGATTTCAGCTACATAAGAGATGTTAAGCCAGAGGATCCAGCTAGGTCACACCCAGATTCTTGATCCTTAGAGACTGTCAGATGATGTCATTTTCTTGGTTTTCTTGACTAATTTTTGAGGTAATTTGTTACATGGCAATGAATAGCCAATGCAGAAGGCATTGAATTAGATGTCAGCAATCAAAGTATGAGTAATATAGGGACTTAAGAGCATAATAGAAATCCATTCAAGCTGTCTTAAGCAGAAAACAAGACATATTGGAAGAATTTATGGTTATCTCCTAGAACTCAAAGGCAAGAATACCAAAAGAACTCATATAGACTAGAACTAGAATTTAAAAAGCACTGAGAACCAGGTAGTAGGTCATTTTCTCCTGACTCCTTATCCACAAAGCCATTAAATCTTTTGTGATGGCCTACTTCTGTCTCGATGACTGGCATTTTCTATTTCTCCTTGTATATGGGAAAATTCAGGCACTCTTGTGGGCCTCGTATGCTGGGATGGCTAATTTTATGCATCAACTTAACTGGGCAAAAGGATAAACAGAGAGTTGGCAAAATATTTCTAGGTGCTCTTATGACGGTGTTACCAGAAGAAATTAGCATTTGGTTTCATAAGCTGTATAAAGAAAACTGTCCTCACCTATATGGATCTGCCATTGTTTCATCCACCAAAGGCCCAAATAAAAGAAAAGGTGGAAGAAGGATGAATTCATTTTCTCTGGTTGGGTTGGGACAGCCACCTTCTCTTGCCCTTAGCTACAAAACAAACAAACTAAACAAGTAGAACCTCAGGATCTTGGGCCTTCAGACACTGACCAGGACTTGCACCATTGGTTTTCAGGCCTTTGAACTTGGAATAGATGCAGTGGTGGTGAATCTGTGGCATCTGTGTCCTAGGGGGCTTTTTGTTATCATTCACAGTTCTAAAAAGTTCGCCATCATTGAACCAAACAACATCATCCACTCTCCTGAGCCTCCAACATCATCCACTCTCCTGAGCCTCCAACATCATCCACTCTCCTGAGCCTCCACCTCACAGTCCGTAGGTCGCAGGACTTCTCATCTTTTATAATCATGTAAGTCAATGACTCAAAGTAATCCCTTCATCCACCTATCTATCAATCAATCATCTATTATTCACTTATCTATTTCTATCTATCATCTGTCAAATCTCCATGTACCCCATTTGTACTATTTCTCTGGAGAATCCTAACTGATATAGATGCCCTCTCCATTTGGGCTTGATAGACACTTTTGACTTGCTGTGATTGAATTCCCAATTCCTGGAAGAAAATGTCAATTGGCCTTAGATCAGCTGTCCATTTTCCATCTCCCTAACAGAAGTAAATATAGGGTTTGCTTCTCTCTCAGGAAAAAAAAAAAAGAATAACCTTTGAAAAGGCATGGGAAGCACAAGCTAAGTAACAAAGAAATTGCTTGAACTACCCCTAAGAAGTTTGTCTAAGGTGAGAAGAAAGGGATTTGGGCTGTGCAGCATTTTACTTGTGTGTATTTAACTGGTGGACTAGGACTACACTAGTGGGGGAATCATGCTACAAGAGTCAACTGATTGACTTCCTGGGGACCACTACTCCTTCCTAGACTTTAGTCCACTATGAGTAATATGAGCAAATTAACTCCAGGTGGTCTCTACTGGGCCTTTTTTCTGAGAAAAAGAGAGAGACAGAGACAAAGACACAGACAGAGGGACAGGGAACCAATTATTAGGGAAAGAAAACAGAGATGGCTTCCCAGACAGCCTTGTGGAACTACAGTGCTTGGCATTGTACACCTGCATGGCTGAGGTCTCCAGCACATGTTGGAGACACTCAGGTGTGTGAGGCACTTGTCCAGCACTGAGATTGACCTTGAGAATTGTCAAACCATGAACCCCAGCTTTTACAACAAAAGTATACATCTGAAAAAAAAAAGTTCAGGTACTCAGAACTTTAGAAGCTGTCGGTGGCCTTGAGCTATGTACAGTGGAAGCTACCTGGAAAGTTCACAAAGCAGAATATTAAAAAATAAATAACAAATGTTTACCTTCAAGGCTCTTCTGTCTTTCTGATGAAGAGTGTTGGGAAGACCAAACTTGCTTTTCAAATGGCGGGCTAGGGCGTACCCCATGTAGCGCTGTTGTCTCGCATGCATCCACCCTCCCACGCCCTTCCCTTCCTTCCTTCCTGCACAGGTGCACACACAGAACCTCCTGAGTCTCAGTCTCAGACATTCCTCTTTGAGCTGCCTCTCAGTCACTCAGAGTTCAGCCTGCTGCTGACACCATCATATCTGGAGGGCAGCACCAAGTCTGTTCCCCAACTTGTGTCATTTGTATGTTGCCACCTTATTCCAGTATTGGTGAATTTAGTTCATGTTTTAATAATCTCAGCATAGAAACGCCCTTCTATGCTTCATATTTCCATTAATTGGAAGGAGAAATGGGTGGAAATAATTACCTCTGCTTTGTTCAAACCTGAAGTAAGTGTGACTCAGGTCTGGAATCTGATAAGAATGTATCTTTCTAGGACATAGGATTTACACAAGGCATACCAATTTAATGTAGGAGACACATTTTTACTTTGCTTTCTTCTCTACATTTTTCCCTTTGCACAAAGAGACGCATTTGTGTTCTAAGGGGCTGGGAACCAGCTACATCTCTGTGATACTGGGAAACCACTTCCCTCATCGGCGGAGGATGGATTAGTTAGTGCCAGTTAAATGCTTTGAAATGAAATATATTCTGTACCCAAATTGTCAATCCGATTATAGTCCTAGGTCTAATATCCAGGAGAAAGATATAGTTCCTGGCTGGCGTTGCAGTTGTTAAAGTGGGTCTTTCTTTGGGGATCTATGATTGCTTTTTCCCTCATGATTAAAGGACAGCACCTGGGAGAGGGGAAGTGGCACCAAGATCTCACCCAGTGACTAGAGAGGGGGAAGGAGGAGGGCACAGAGAGGGAAGGAGACATGAGGCCAAGCGTGATGAGAGGAAAGAAGCCAGGGATTGCACATTGCATGTGAAGGAGAAGGAGAGGGAGATGGTGGGAAGGAGGGTGGGAGGTTGGGAAGGAACAGAAAGAAAAAGAGAAAGAGAAAGGAGGGGGGCAGCTATTATTAGGATTAGAGAGAGAGTGCCTCTCCTTATATTTCTGTGAAGCCTGCTGAAAGTAAATGTAGTCTCAGAATAGATAAGGTTTACCCTAACAAAAAGTGCTGCTTTTCCAAGTTAAGGTGTTACGGATTATTTGATTTGGATTTGCTTTATCTATTGGCTTATTTTATTAGTGGGTTACTTAGCCAGATGTATTTTGTAGTTTCAAATCCAACTAAATCTGACTCTTTTTGTATTTGGTCAAGATAAATTTTTCCTTTTGCCTTCAAATGCAGCCCAGTGACAAGGTCCTGGATTTGATCTCCAGCACTGCAAAGAAATTTTTTAAAAATGTGTCCTGACTGCTGCTCCAGCTGTGGAAAGACATAGACCTCCGTCATGTTAAGTAACAGGTCCGGCCTGCCTGAACCCACTGGAATTCTGTTCTTGCCTTTGTCCAAGTTGGAGAGGCCTGCGCTCAGGCAGTCACGCAGCTCTCTGGAATGCCGACAGCAGAAGCCTGCTCTTACGGGATGGTCATGCTGAGCCTGGTAAGTTGGATCCCCTCCTTCATCTGTGGGAAAGAGCACAGGGCAACTCAGAGACAGAAAAGATAATGAGCAATGACAAGAGAAGGCTCCTGTCATGGAAAACCCGACAAAGAAAAGGTGTGAGTACTGCTGAGGCTGTGAGTTATCTCCCCTGGAGGCTGTCAGTGCCCATGCCAGCCAGGGCTCACCCAGAAAGAGCTGCAGGTCACTCATTCATTCATTGTTCTTTGTCTCCTCCTTTTCTTCCTCCCTCGCCCCCCCCAACTTTCTTTCAGTATGTTCCTGCGTCCACTTTGAATTCATCACTTATATTTATTCACTGACATTAAATATGTATATATACACATATGTGCAATGAAAGTAAAAAATTTTTAAAACGTATTACAATAAAAGACCTTAACTGTTTTACATGGTATCGTTGTGCTTCCCTCAATGCCCTGAATTGATTCAAAACATTTACCTTTCCTGATCATTTTGACTTCGGGGAAGAACTAGAAATCACACCATGCTAGATCTGGTGAATAAGGTAAATGAGGACTCAGCATAATGGTTTTCAGAGCCTGCCTTACCGTGGCATGGCAGTCAGCAGGAGCATGCACTATATTTTTTTTTAAATCACACCTTACCTCATAAAGACAGAAGACTTTCAGTACTGTTTCAGAAAGTGGTAACAATAATGATATAAGTATGTTTAAAGTAAAAGGGAGTATTTTCAAGAGGATTAGTGGTAATGTGCTTTTCACTGTAATAAGTTTTTTCTGACTTATTCATTCACTCTACTTTTAGATCATATCTCCTTTTTTTTCAGTGAACATGTACTGAGAATCTATATCAGGTACTTTTCTAGGTCTTAGGCTTATGATGATACATAAGACAGAGATTCTGACTTAAGAGAATCAAACACATACCCAAGTAACCATATTATGGATTAATCAAAATACCGATCCTAAAGGAATACCAGTGATGTTTGGGTTCTCAGAGAACAGTTACATCTACCTGGAGGATCTCAGAAACTTTTAATTTACCTTGTTTATTATTTTTTTTATTTTAAAGGGAAACAATAAAAGTAGCAATAAAACAGTTTGAAAACAGGTTATTAGGAGAGCTTTAATTGATTCATTGTATTATTATTGTCTTTGTAGATACCCAGAAGGAAAATAATTGGGTCAAAGAGACCTCTAATCCTAGTTTCTTAAGGAATCTCCACACTGATTTCCACAGTGGTTGCACCAGTCTACACTCCCACCAACAGTGGAGAAGGGTTTCTTTTCCTCACACCCCTGCCAGCATTTGTGTTCAGTTGATTTTATGATGACAGCTATTCTTTCTGGAGTGAGACAGAATCTCAGTGTTGTTTTAATTTGCATCTCTCGAATGACCAACGATATTGAACATTTTGTCATGTATTTATTTGCCATTTGTATTTCTTCATCTGAGAAGTGTGTATTCATCTCAAATTCCCATTTTTAAGTGGGTCTTTGAATTTGAGGGGAGGTCTGATTTTTTTCAATTTTAGATAAAACTCTTTTGTCTAAGGGACAATTGGTTATAATTTTTTCCCACTCTGTGGGTTGTCTTTTCACTCTGTTGGTGATTTCCTTTGTTTTGCAAAAGCTTTTTTACTAAGGTAAGATCTCATTTGTTGATTCTTTGTAATATTTCCCTTACACTCTGAATTTCTTTCATGAAGTCTCTGCCTACATCTACATTTTTAAGATTTCTACCTATTTTCTCTTCCAGTAAGTTTAGTGTTTCTATTTTAATATCTAGATCTTTAATCCCTTTTGACTTTAGTTTAGTGCATGGGGATAGACATGGATCTAGTTTTAGTCTTCAGCATGTGGAGAGCCAGTTTTTTCTGCACCATTCATTAAAAAAGCTAGTGAGCATGTTTGGAATCTTTGCCAAAGATAAGGTGGCAGAGTTTGTTTGGGGTTGCATCTGCATCTTCTATTCTGTTCCACTGATCTCAGGCCTATTTGTTTATTGTGTTGTTTTTTGGTGTTTGTTTGTTTGTTTGTTTGTTTTTGCCAATACTATGCATTTGAGTTGAGCCTAGAGAGAGGGAGGGAACTTTTCTCCATGACCATATGGGACTGGCAAGAAATCCAACTGGCAGTAGGCCCTGTCAAAGAAGGCCAATGGAGGCCAGATGTAGGGTAAATGCCAAGACCCGTAAACCACTCAAGATGACCTGGCTATAAAATCAAGCAAGTAAGGTCAGGAAATAGAACTGACGGCTGGGGATCCCGGTGTTGCACTACCTTCCTCTCCAAGAAGTCCCCCCACCCAGTGTTAAAGGCTTCTTTCTTTGACTGCAGAAAGATCACCAAAGACCATAGCTAAAACACAGCCATTTGAGAGAAGCAGGAGGAATGGCTGCCTGCATAGTGAGTGGTCTCCTGGAGTCTTTTCTAACCCACAATTCAATCTATATCAGTTAATCACAATTGCTAATTTTCATGTAAGTGTCGTATATTTAGTCCAAGTTTGAGCAAAATTAAGAATGTGGGATTTTGGATCTCCCAGACCAATACTATTTAAGGGGAGGGCCATAACTATGTCAACTTTTAGTTTTGGCAAGAAAGAATGTGCTAAGGGGCTGGGATTTAGCTCAGCAGCATAAGCACCTGTTTGGCAAGCTTGAGGTCCTGAGTTTGAAACCCGGTTCCAAAAAAAAAAAAAAAAAAGAATACACTCAGAATTTACCAATTTGTCTCCACATGTGGCAAAGACTGCTAAATGCTTACAAATATCTTTTCTCCTCCTCTTCCAGAAAAATATAGTGGTATTTTATTTGAGATGGCAACATGGGAGAATCAAAATCATATTTTCCAGCCTTTTTTTGCCACCAGGCAGCATGCTTGCAAAAACTCTTAAAGAGCTTTCCATGATATGAACTTGGATTTTCCTCCCTCCTCTCTTAGTCCATCTTCCAATTTAGAATTACTACCTCTGTGAGATCATGGTACATTAGCATCATTAATTTGGGTCTCAAGTTTAGGGACTTGAAGCTTCCCTAGGAGACTAGGAGTAGCACACCTGCTCTGGGCTTAGAGTCTTGAAAAGCTCTCTTAAGTATTTCCAGCTCTCTCCAATGCTGCCGGCCCATCAGTGACTCTTGTGGGTTTGTGAGGGGAGTGAGCATACTGAATGGCTTTTGCCTTCTGACTCTTCAATCTCTCTCTCTCTCTCTCTCTCTCTCTCTCTCTCTCTCTCTCTCTCTTTCTCGACCCTTTTCCATTTTTTCCCCTGCTGTCTGGTAATAACTCCCTTTGTATTTATACACTCATTTCATAAATAGCACTATGCCTCTTGTGTATTAGTCTGTGATCAGCCAGGACTGCATTAAGTACTCTAGGTATTTGGAAAGAGAGGAAATTGGGTGCATGAGATTGGTTGCAAATGTATTGGCTGGAGGGAAGTGTGGTAGGCACTATGAGTTTCCACTGTGAATTCCCTTCAAGGAAAGACTTATCC